GACTGGCTCATCTCCTCCCTGAGACCCCTCTGCAAGGGGATCTCCAGTGGCCTACTAATGGGCTTTGGGTCTCCACTCCGCACTCCCATCATTCACTATGGTAAGATTTTTTGTTCTGATGATGCCTTATACCTGGGTTTTCTTTACATTGAGTTGTAAGTCACATTGAAGGCTGCAATCCTTGATCTTCCTCAACAAGGGCTTCCAGTCCTTACTTTCAGTAAGCAAAGTTGTGTCATCTGCATATTGCAGGCTGTTAATAAGCCTTCCTTCAATCCTGATGCAGTATCTTTCATAAAATCGTTTCTCTGACATTCAGACTAAGTACTGTGCTAATACCAGGTTTCTTCTTGTTAGTTGAGTATAAAATGTTAGCCTTCTGGTGGCTGTTGCTGTTATAGTCTTATAGGGAAATACCTTGCATTACCTAATAAACTTACACTCTTTAACCTAGCAATTCCACAGAAATAAAACCTGGATTATATAAAGATATATATATATATATATATACCTGCAATATATGTATCTTGCTAAAAGAGGTGGATTTGAAGCAGTAGCTAATGAAGATCAAAGATTGCAGGCTTCAGTATGGATTACAACTCAATGTGAAGATCAAAATCCTCACAACTGGACCAATGAGTAATATCATGATAAATGGAGAAAAGATTGAAGTTGTCATGGCTTTCACCTTGGTTGGATTTAAAAATCAATGCTCATGGAAGCAGCAATCAAAAAAGATCAGATGATGCATTTCATTAGGTAAATCTGCTGCACAAGAGTTTTTTAAAGTACTGAAAAGCAAGGATGTTACTTTGAGGGCTAAGGTGAGCCTTTGATCAGTCATGGTATTTTCTTTAATATTCTTTTTTTAGTCATGGTATTTTCAATCACCTCATATGCATGTGGTATTTTCAATCACTTCATATGCATGTTGGCCAGTGAATAAAAAAGACCACAGAAAAATCAATGCATTTGAACCAGTGGTGGGATTAAAATAATTTAATGACCAGTTCGTTTTGCTGGCCTAACAACTGTTTTAAGTATTTAAAAAATGGCATGTCAAAGGATAATTTATTATTACATACAGTTAATACTTAAATAATAAAAGAGGTACACAAAACTAGATTATGGTGAGTTTAAAAATATTAACGAAAAATATTAAATACCCCACAAAACCCAAAACTGTTAATTTCAATATTGCTTCTTTTAAAAAATTTTTTTAAATCATTTTATTGGGGGCTCGTACAATTCCTATCACAATCCATACATACATCCATTGTGTCAAGCACATATGTACATTTGTTGCCATCATCATTCTCAAAACATTTGCCTTCTACTTGAGCCCTTAATATCGACTGTTCATTTTCCCCCTCCCTCCCCCCTCCCTCATGAACCCTTCATAATTCATAAATTATTATTATTTTGTCATGTTACCCTGTCCGATGTCTCCACCCCGCCCTCCTCTCTGCTGTCCATCCCCCAGGGAGGAGGCTATACATATATTCTTGTAATCAGTTTCCCCTTTCTACCCCACATTCCCTCCACCCACCAGGCATCGCCACTCTTACCACTGGTCCTGAAGGAGTTATCTGTCCTGGGTTCCCTGTGTTTCCAGTTGCTATCTGTACCAATGTACATCCTCTGGTCTAGCCAGATTTGTAAGGTACAATTGGGATCATGAT